CCCTCTTTCCTTTCTTTCACTTTTGCCATAGGGTGTGTGTGCTCACCACAGAGACAGAGAGGGAAAGTGAGAAATCATCGCTGGGGGAAGCCATGCCCCAATCCCTTCTCCTCCACTCTCAGGATTTTGGGCATACACTCACATGCACCGGCATGAGTTTCAAACCACTGGGCCTGGGACTTGAACCATGGTCAGCTATGCAGGAGTCCAGGCCTTAGCCACTGTGCCACCTGCTGGCCTCAGTGCAGGTCCCTCTCTTGCTCAGATGCCAGGTGTTGCTGGCCGTGGTCAGGCAAAGAGCAGCAGAGGCTTCAGGTTGGTCTGGCTCTTGCTGCCCCAACGATGCCTCATTCAGGCAACTTGATGCTTCTGGGCAAAAGTGACAGGAGCCCTCATCGGCCATGTTGCCCTGGCTGGCTGCTCCAAGGCAGGCCGTGCACCCCCCAGCCCAGCTCTGAGGAGCAGTCATGGAATGCAGCCGTGTCTGTGGGACAGTCCAGGACCGGAGACCACAGAGTGCTGTGCCCTGCGACCCACGCTCGCCTGCTCACTGCCCAGGAGACGGTCGTGGTTAGGCACAGAAGAGCCTGACGCAGTGCCTGGCACTAACAGCAGTGACAGCATGTACTGGAGGCCAGCAGGTGGCATGGAGGTCACAGGGGCTGCATCCCATGTGGCTGACTGAGTCCCAAACCCACAGCATGCCAGATGTGTGTGTGTGTGCGCCCAACGTCATGAGAGGGAATGGGAACGGGACTGTGGCGTGGCTGTCTTCCCTGGGGCGCCTCCTCTCTCTCTCTCTGTTGAGTACACACCCTATAGCAAAAACTAAAAACAGACAAAAGTATGCGACGTGGTCTCGCCCCCATCCCTCCCGTGTCACTTCTCTATCCTGTTGGGATTTGGGCACAAACCCAGTGGATTTTGGTCGCAAACCCATGCTCACAAATCTAGTGGGTGTTCAGTCTACCTGGGCCAGGCCTCAGACTGGTCAGCCATGTGGGGTCCTGCTCTCTCAACTGCTAGACCACAGGGCCGCTCGGTTCCCTTTGCTCTGAAGCTGACTGGCCGCCAGTAACTGAGTCAGCCACTTCATTCGAGGGCGCTTTGTGTAAATCTCCTTGAGAAAGGTAGCCTGGCCGAGCCCAGGCCCAGGGTCTTTCTGTCCCTCCCCTGCAGCATCCACCCTCGGGATAAGCAGACCGTGGCTCACCGGCTGCACTTGGGGGCCCGAGCTGTGGCGTATGGCGAGACGGGCCTGACCTTCCAGGGACCACTGCCAGTGAAGGTGGGGCTCCTGACCGCCCAGGGGCTGCTCACCCTCACGTATGACCAGCAAATCCAGGTGCAGAGGCAGGACAGCAAAATATTTGAGGTGAGAACGGAAGACCTGTTTTCATCCTGTGCTGGGATCAGGGCTCCCTCTGCATGAGCTGGGTCACTCCCTGTGATGTGGGCCGGGCTGGGCTGGGGTGGGGGCCCTGAGCTACCTTAGCAGTACAGGAAGCAGCTGTCACCCATTAGCTTAGAGCCAATTTCTTTCTCCTAATTTTGCTGTAGGATGTGTGTGCTCCCTGGAAAGAGACAGAGACAAAGGGAAGATGAGACCTTTCGTCTCCAGGGGGAGGGCCACACCACAGTCCCTTCTTCTCTGTCCTCCTCTTGGGATTTCGGGCACGTGTGCCAGGCATGGCATGTTTGTTAAGCCACCGAGTCTGGGACTTGAACTACACCATTGGCCCTGTGGGACCCAGCGGCTTTAACCCGCACACCACGGGCAGTCCTAGAGCCAGTTTTGAGAGACTAGGCCAATCAAGGAAGGGAACCGAGTCTGTTTAAAGTGACGTTATTCGTGCGTTTTCCCCCTAGGGCAGGAGTCTTTGATCAGGGGCATGGGGGGTGGGGGCTGGCAGTTCCACATGGAGGTGCCCAGCAGCAGCTGTCCTAGCGGTTTCCCGGGAGTCTTGCTAAAGGAGCTGAGACATTCCTGCATGGAAGGTGGACTCTATCTCTGGGAATCAGGAGAGGAGAAGGCAGCTGGATTCCACATGGCTGACTCTACAGTTTAAGTCCTGGACCCAGCACCTTGGAAATCTCACCTGATGGGACCAGCAGATGGTGTAATGGTTACATTGCTGGACTCCCACGTAATCGACTGGTTTGCGTCCCAGATCTGGCTGCTTAAACCTCACACTGGGTGTGTGCGTGTGTGCCCAAAATCCCGAGGAGAATAGAGGAGAAAGGATTGCAGTGTGGCCATCCCCCCTGGGACGTGATTTCTCGCTTTCTGTCTGTCTCTGTCTCTCTGGTGAGTGCATGCACCCTATGGTAAAAATCTCTCTCAAAGGAAGAAAGTCTCACCTGGCATGTGTGCTTGTGTGCCCAAAGTCCTGAGAGGGCACTGTGGTGTGGCTATCCCCCCGGGGTGTGTGTGTGATTTCTTCCTTTTCCTCTCTCTCTGTCTCTGACAAGTAGTGCACATGTCCTACAGCAAACTTTAAAAGAAAGACTACAGCAAACTTTAAAAGAACGAGTGTTAGCGGCAGCTCTGAGCCAGGGGTTCGTATATAGCTGCACTTGGAACCTGACTGCAGGGCCCTGCTGGGCCTGGCTGCTTCCCCCTGCTCCTTCCCTGTGGGTTGTAGGTAAACTCAGAGCTTCCCGGGGGCTGGTGTCAGTGCTCCCCTTCAGTCAGTGCTCGGGAGCTGCTGCTCCACCCCAGTCGTGGTTGGGTAGGAACAGAACTGGCCATGGCGCTCCTGTCCTGCATGCCCTCTGCCTCGGGAGGCTCCATGCCTGCAGTCGTGTGCCCGTCCTCGCTCCACAGGTGCCCTGGAGGCCGGAGCATGGCCTGGCTGCCCAGTGGTGGGAGGGAGGGTCCCTGGAAGAGTCCGGAGCCCCCCCTGGTGCTGTCCACACACGGTGCTTCATGTCTCCTCTGTCACTTAACTGCAGGATCAGCCAGTGGCCCCGTTGACCAGATGCAGCCTGGTCAGGTTTGCTTTGATGACAGGGTAGTAGCGGGTCCTGGCGGAAGGTGGCTCCCACACTTGGGACCAACTGTGCTCTGCGGCTCCCACCAGGTCTCCTGCTGCACCAACGGATGCATGTGGCTGCCGGCTCCCATGAACGTGTCCACTGCCTGGACTCTGACCCTGAGCATTGACTCCTGCCACGGCACTGTGACTGCTCTTCGCTACGCCTGGGCCACGTGGCCCTGTGACTACAAGCAGTGCCCGCTGTACCACCCGGACAGTGCCCTGCCTGCTCCACCCTTCCACACGTTCCTGCAGACCTGGGTCCCGGACGGGAGAGCGCGGCTGCCCAGTGCCACTCAGGGTGGTCAGATCTTAGAGAGGAAGGTGGTCCTTGGGGTTGGCACTTAGAGCTCAAATGGCGACAACTGAGGCACCGGCCGTTTCTGCATCGGAGGAGCCTGGACTGGTGGCCGCTGTCCCCTTGCGGGTCCAGCACTGAACCTCACCCCAGGCAAGTCAGCCTCAATGTCCTCACTTCCCGTGACCGTCGGGACCTGATCACCTCGCACTTCTGTCCCTCATCTAGAATTGTGGAATCTCAGGGTCGATGAGGGTTTAAAGGCCATGCAAGCCAGTTTGTGTCTGATTTCTTTAGAGTCTCTGGCAAGGGTTGCTGCCTCTCCATGCAGTTTCCATTCTGAACTTGCCAAGCTCCCTCCATGGGGCTGCAGACTCCCTCCTCGGAACTTCACTGCTCTGGGGTGATCCTGCAGACCTCGGAAGGCAGACCTACATTCTCTTTAAGCGGAAACCAATTCTGTTCCTTTGTTCTAAGTTACAATAATGGGAAAGTTTAAAATAAACCAGCCAGAACCACGCGCAGGCGTAGAGAGGGGTTCAGGGAGAGTGAGGGGACAGGAGGGCCCAGAGGCAGGCCCTCAGGTTAGCTGTACCTCTCGGGCTCTTTAAAGGCACGGGGTTCAAGGACAGCCTGCCAGAAGGAAAGCTGAGGCAGCAGTGCCTGTCCCACGGTGTGGAGGGCCGGACTCCGAGCGAGTGTGTGCCCTGAAGGGTCACAGTGCTGCTCGCTGGCTGGTTAGAACAGCAGGAGATGCTGCTGTTTGTGATGGGAAGTTGGAATAAAGTGCAATCACTGGCAGTATGTACTTATACCCAGCCTACACTGGGTCAGGGTCGACTTGTGAACCCACCCAGGAGCACAAAGGAGTGAAAAGCTGGGCAAAGGTGAGGACTGGAGCTGTGGGCACTGCTCTCTCCACCCCTGGCTTTGGGTCTGGCCTGGCTCCTGGCAGAGGGAATAGCTCGTCAGTACCAAGGTTTTATCCAGTGAAAAGTGAACTGTGTGCCCTGCTCTGAGGATTGCACTCAGCACACCGTGACCTTGAAGGCCCCCAAGGCCCAGACTTGGAGCTCTCTACGCTGGCCTGGGAGAACCACAGTAACAGAAAGACTCCCAGGAAAAGCGCACACACACGCACACACACCCACACCCGTGGGCTGCTTACCCAAGGTTGGAGTCTCCCCTGAAACCAAGTGCACTGTGTCAACATGTGGTTTAGGGAGCAGGCGTGCTAATTAAACGTGTCCATCTTTAGTGGTTGAATGACAGAACATTCTGTGGGAAGTCAGTGTATTTCCCCAGATGAAAAGAAATTTACTCTTTGAAAGTGAAATTTATCATCACTGTAAAAACTTGGAGAAATTGAGCACACCCAATGAAAATCTGAAATTTGAAATGCTCCAAAATCTTTTTGAGCACCTTTTCTACAAGGGGAAAATTCCATACCTGATTTCATGTGATAGGTCATAGTCAAAACACACAGGGAGACAAGTTTATTCTGTCCCCAGAGGAAGAGACCCCAGCCTTCTGTAATGTATCTTTTCCGTGCATCCCCAGCAGGGTGATGGGATGGCCACGTGCAGGCTGGATGTGCCAGCAGGTCCTAGCCACGACCTACGTGCAATGGTGCTTCTTTGCTTGTTCTCTGCTCTCTCCATACCAGATGAAAAGAAATGTACTCTTTGAAAGTGAAATTGTGTTGGAAATGCCAGAAGGTGGGCAGGTGCCCCTGTGCATGATAAGACCCTTCATGTTCTGATGGTCCAGTGTATATGAGTCTTCATTCACAAAGTAACTGAAGGCGTTTGTTGTGCAGACACACCGAACAGGTGGGCCCGTGTAGACTGACGTCCTCCCCAGGTACCTCTAGGCATGTGCACACATCCCAAACTCTGAGAGGATCCAAAGTCTGAACTACTAGCCCAAGCATTTGTTTTAAAGTTTATTTCTTCCATGAGAGCAAGAAAGGGGCACTTCCACAGCATTCTCACCCCTGTCCGCCCCAGCCCCAGCAGGCCTGAACCAGGGCATGGGTACCGTATGTCCAGGGGCCACGGGGTGAGTCATGGGGTGTGTGCAGCACTGCACTAAACTGCCAACCTGCACGGCCCTGGATCCAAGCAGTGCAGATATTCTACCCGTTCAAGTGAAAGTCACCTCAAATTCACCAGGAACACTGTTCTAGTGAACATTCACTTGGTTTGGATTATACAATTTTATACATGACATAGTCTATTATTTTGCATGTGTTTACTTCACCAAAATGATTTCGTGGGTGAGTCTGTATAATGCTAGAGTGCTGAAGTCTGGGGGCCCACATGTGCCTAGTTTCTATGAATGGGCATGGAGATTTCTACGAGTTTCCACCATCAGACTGATCCTGCGACGGGTGCTGCATGTAGACATGGCATCTCACTTGTCCCGTTACTTAGGGTCTGAACATGGAGCAGCCGTCAGCAGATGAATACAGTTGAGGTTTTGACACCTCGTTTCCCCACAGGGTTAGACGACCTCTACTCCCAAGGTGCGGTCCCTTTTCCTTCATCTTGACACTGCATGTCCATTTTAAAAAACCTCTAACGGATGACAAGATACCTTAAGTATGCCAGGGCAGTGCTGTTCAAATGTTCTGAAACCATGACCCACAGTGAAGATGCTTCACGTATCTCTGTACAGGTGTGCTGCTGTGATTTTCACACACACACACAGACACGTCTGAAAGCAGTTTCGACCCTTTTCAAATAATACATTCCAATATACTCCCATGCTTTAATTCAAAAAGGTCCAGGTTCTGACTTCTAATGGGTTGAGATTTGTAGAAAAACTTAAGAGTAAACGTACAGTACTTGATTAGAATTAATTGTCCTTTTACAGACCAGCAGATGGCGAAATGGTTATGTTGCTGGACTCCCATGTAGTTGACTGCAGTTCAAGTCTCAGACCCGGTGGCTTAAAACTCATGCCAGGCCTGTGTGCATGCATGCCCAAGATCCTGAGAGGAAAATGGAGAAGGGACTGTGGCATGGCCATCCCCCCTTCATGTGATTTCTCATGTTCTGTCTCTCTGGTGAGCGTACATGCCCTATAGCAAAAATCTGTTAAGAAAACAAAAGAACTGACCTTCTCAGGCAAAGCTCATCTGCTATGCTTTACTGCGGCTGTGACAGGGTGGAAAGGTATTTGTCACATGATCAAAGCAGCATGCATCATTTCTATGTAAGTGAGAAAAAGATAAAACACCGAAACATTAATGCGTTTACTAATTTATTATCCACATTTTACTGTTTTCTTTGCATTGTGAAGGCTATACAAGTTTCTAGACTAATTAAGAATCATAAATAATGCATTAACTTTGGTTCCAATGGTTTCTAGCAGCCAGTGCTCTCACCACTCCAGCTGCCATCTCTTCCTGCTGTCAGTTTACTCCCAGGACATGCTAACCCTGCACCTTGCTGTCGGCAGTGCCAACTGCCCCAGATAACAACCTGGTTCTCACTGCTCCTTCTGGTCCCTGTCTCTCTTCCGTCCCAGCCAGGCTGGGCCCTGGTTGCTGGCAGCTGAGGCTTCCCACCTGGCATGGAGTCATGCGCACTTGGACTGGGGGTGCTATACACCTCCCTCTCAGTACAGAGGCAGGCTCCAAAAAACTCAGTTGTACAGGATGTGGGCTCAGGCTATCACTCAGTTAATGACAGATGTAGGTCTGTTACAGATGATGGTGCTAACCTCGCTAACATCACTTCTCAATTTGGGTTACATGGTTTCAACATGTTGAGCCAGAAGTGCATTTCTGGCTAAGAACATGGGCTATGAAGAGGGCCACAGAGGACCACGCGACCCCTGGAGGGATGGGCAGCATGTGAAGGTAGAGCCCGTGGTGCGCCTGGGCCTTCTGGCTCAAGTCTCAGGGCAGGACTGGGTTTTGGTAACATGCATGTGGAAATAAGCAGCAGCCTGGGATGCATGGGGTCGCTGGGAAGCCATGATGCATTTTTGCATAGAAAAACAGGTAATGGTTTTCCTGATGACCCCACAGTATCAGAGTCAAGAGTGGAAGGTTGTCAGGGTCTTCCCACACCCCTTCTGCATCAGTCAGGCCACAGACTCCATGACCCTGCACACCCGCCAAGTCCTAACCTAACGGGATGGTATTTCAGAAGGCAGGGTAGGTCAGAGGACCTGGCCTTTAGAGTGGGATCAGTGTAACAAAAGGGGCCCCACAAGGCAGGGGACTAGCCCTGCCACCATGGAACACTATAGCAAGGTGGCCCTCCCAGGAACCAAGAGGCTAGGCCTCACCCAACACTGAGTCTGTCAGTGCTGATGCTTGGGACTTCCAGTCTCCAGAGCCATGACAGTACTTCCTTCTGCTGTCTGTGAACTCTCCAGCCCCTGGCATTTCACTTCAGCAGCTCAGACGAGACAGAAGCACTCGCCCACTCCTAAGGACTGGAGTTTACTCTTCCTCAAGCACAATTCAGCAAAGAGAGAGAAATTACAGCCTGACTATAACAAGATAATAATAAGCATAACTGTCAAGAAAAATTTATTACTAAAAATGAAGAGCGGATGCTTCTCCCACAGTACACCCTCCACCCACGAGGGAATGTGCTAACTCAGTGTCTTTATCCCTCAATTGTTGCCGCCTTCCACACATTCTCAGTTTTAGTATAAGTTACACACTCATGCTCTCGAAAACGATGTATCTGATTTCTTGCTGGGCTGTGCTGAGGCGGGGCCTCCAAGGGCCCACAGGGCAGGAACATGGGCTGGGGACACGAAGGCTGTCAGCGGGAGCTCCAGATTCAAGGGCCCTGGAGAAAACAACAGCCCATCGCTGATGGAGAACCTCAGGAGACTGTCCTGGTCAGACACGAACACGTCCTTCCAAGGCCTGACGTCTCGACAGCTACAGGCCGTGTCCTCATTCGGTCAGACGAGACAGCTACCTTTTCAATGAAGAAACTGGCTGGAACGGACTTACCCAGGGTAACAGATTTTATTGAGTTTTCATTCTGTTTTCTCAGCTCCACCCTACGGCTCTCCCTCTGTGACCAGGACTAAACCCCTGGTCCCTTGCCCGTCTTTGGGAAGGGATCCATGGGAAATAGGACCAAGGCCACCATCTGACACTTTTGACGTCACTTGGAATTTAACAGGCTGCACAGTGAACCTTCCCCTGGTATTCTGACTGAAGTCAGAGAGGGAGACTCGCTGATTATAGGCACTCCCAGTGTCTTGAGTAATGTGGGAAGCCACACAGCTACAGGTCCCAAACTCAGTGTGTCCCACGGCTGGCTCGGGGAAAGCTTCCATCCCGTCCTGCCCAGATATCTGAGGTATTGAGCTGTGGGCGAAGTGGGGAACATAGCCCAACTATCAAGTTTCAAACCACAGAAGGAAAATGAAAGACACCTGGCACAATGAGATCACTGTGCTCTTCAGCAAAGGTCTGTCTCTGAAAGACTTCAAAGCTTGTAGCTGGATCCTCCTCCAGGTCCTGGGGGTAGCTAGGTTTCTCTAAGATTGCACATATCAAATTTCACCCACTGTAACTGGGATAGAAAGGAGGCATTCTTGAGTGGTCTGCCAGCCGTAATCTGACCTTCAAACCTCCAAAGGGACCAGACATTTTCTCCGTAGAGCTCTGCCATGTATGTCTAAAAAAACTAGCTAAGAAACTTAATAAAGGGACCAGCAGTTGCCGTAATGGCTATGTCACTGGACTCCCATGTAGCTGACCATGGTTCGAATCCCGGACCCGGTGGCTTAAATTCACACCGGGCACATGTGTGTGCGTGCCCAAGATCCCGAGAGGAGAACGGAGGAGAAGGGATTGCGGTGTGGCCATCCCCCCTGGGGAATGATTTCTCGCTTTCTGTCTCTCTGTCTCTGTCTTTCTACCAAGGCCACCATCTGACACTTTTGACGTCACTTGGAATTTAACAGGCTGCACAGTGAACCTTCCCCTGGTATTCTGACTGAAGTCAGAGAGGGAGACTCGCTGATTATAGGCACTCCCAGTGTCTTGAGTAATGTGGGAAGCCACACAGCTACAGGTCCCAAACTCAGTGTGTCCCACGGCTGGCTCGGGGAAAGCTTCCATCCCGTCCTGCCCAGATATCTGAGGTATTGAGCTGTGGGCGAAGTGGGGAACATAGCCCAACTATCAAGTTTCAAACCACAGAAGGAAAATGAAAGACACCTGGCACAATGAGATCACTGTGCTCTTCAGCAAAGGTCTGTCTCTGAAAGACTTCAAAGCTTGTAGCTGGATCCTCCTCCAGGTCCTGGGGGTAGCTAGGTTTCTCTAAGATTGCACATATCAAATTTCACCCACTGTAACTGGGATAGAAAGGAGGCATTCTTGAGTGGTCTGCCAGCCGTAATCTGACCTTCAAACCTCCAAAGGGACCAGACATTTTCTCCGTAGAGCTCTGCCATGTATGTCTAAAAAAACTAGCTAAGAAACTTAATAAAGGGACCAGCAGTTGCCGTAATGGCTATGTCACTGGACTCCCATGTAGCTGACCATGGTTCGAATCCCGGACCCGGTGGCTTAAATTCACACCGGGCACATGTGTGTGCGTGCCCAAGATCCCGAGAGGAGAACGGAGGAGAAGGGATTGCGGTGTGGCCATCCCCCCTGGGGAATGATTTCTCGCTTTCTGTCTCTCTGTCTCTGTCTTTCTGGCGAGCGCATGTGCCCTATAACAAAAAAAACTCCAAAAAAAGAAAAAAGAACTTAATAAAAACCAAAACAATAAAAATCAAAGGTGTCCTCTTTAGTGATACATTACTTTGCTAGAATTCCTGCCCCTCCACTGTCATGATGCGCACCAAGAGATAATTATAGCACCCCAGGGCCCTGCTCGTCCTGCTCACTCTCCAGAGGGCCGGAAGGCCACACCAAGGCACACTGCCAAGAAGCAAGCCTGCCTTGAACGAAGAGGCTTGGCACCACACAGACGAACAACGCAGGAGCTGCCCTGGCTGGCTGGTCACCGGTGCCTCTCAAGCAAGGGGGCTGACCATACTTACTTGGCACATTTTCGAGCTCCTGGACCACAGGCTGTGGATGGCTGGGTGAGAAAACCCGAAGTTGGCTCCAGATGGAAGCAGGATAGGCCTTAGTTCCCTCTATGCAGGACAGAAAGATGAAGGGGGCTTACGGGTGCAGGGCTATCTGCACACACAGGATGCGCCCTCCCGACTGTGATGCCCTGGAGGCTCCGGTTCCAAGACATCTGGAGGATGCAGGGCAGGCTGCTATCAAGGGGACCCTCCACCTGCTGAAAGCAAGAGGAAAGGCCTCACTGACCCCACTAGCCATCTCTGAGCAGCTCTGCGTGACAAGCATCTGCAGAAGCACTGACAAGGCGCTCTGGGGTCACCTTCGGGAACGATTTCAAACTAAAGGTAAAGGAGCAATCAGCTGGACCCCCGAGGAGGAAGCAGCAGAGAGCACACCACTGCCTCACTCGGGCACAGCCGGCTGAAGCACACGCCGCACCAGAGGGTGGGCAGTTTCTCAGTGCTATTGGGATTCAGCCGAATCCTGGCCCAGCCACGCCAGCATGCAGACTGAGGCCATGGGGGAGTCCCAGGTTCGATTCCCAGCCACTCCAAAAGCTGAGTCTAGTGGTACAAGTCTATAGTCCCAGCTACTCAGGAGACAGAGGCAAGAGGACTATGGCCTAGTGAGACCCCATGGGGAAATCCAAAGCCAGTGAAGCCCCGACTAAGGATTCCTTTGTGGCCGAGTGCTCTCCAGAGCTCCCTCAGCTCAGTTCTAACTCGTTACACACACTTCCACAGCTTCCCTACCCACCGATGTGCATCCTTCAGATCAAGACAGGGTGCAGGATGAAGGGGGTACGGCAAACGTTCATGGAGGGACAGTGGGCGGCATAGTGGTTAACGGCGCTGGACTCCCACATGGCCAACTGTGGTCCGAGTCCGAGACCTGGCAGCCTGAGATTCATGCTGGGGAGATGTGCACATGTACCCCAAATCCCAGAAACAGAATGGAGAAGGGATTGCTGTGTGGTCATCCCACCTGGGGGTGATATCTTACTTTCCCTCACGGTCAGTCTCATCAAGTGCATGTGCTCTATGGCAAAAACCTAAAAAAACGAAAATAAATAAAATCAACAATAGGAAATGTTCAGAGAGAAACGCCTATATGAAGACACCGTGGATTTCAAAACATTTCTGTACCAAAATAAACTCATACTTCAAGTCTATTTTCCCCCACAAATTGTTTTATCCCCTTGCACAAATACAAATGGTATTTTAAAAACAGAAGAGATAACTCTCCATATAATGTTGGGTTTATATCCTTTTTTTTTTTCAGAGAGATTTTTGCTATAGGGCACGTGCACTCGACAGACACACAGAAAGCATTAATCACTCCCGTGACTGGTCACGCCGCAATCCCTTCTCCTCCATTCTCCTCTCAGGATCTTGGGCATGCACACACGCACCCAGCGTGAGTTTTAAGCCACCAGGTCTGGGACTCGAGGAGCGGTCGACTACGTGGGAGTCCAGCAACAGGGCCCTTACACCGTCTCCGGTCCTTACTTAGGCGCTTTGACCACAAACTACAACATCACCTCATTTTCTTTCCTTTTTGGATGTTAAAATACCTTGATTATAAAAAGCTGTTACATTAAAATTAATAATAATCCTGAGGAATTTCTGCCAAGAAAAAATTTTTGTGACAAGTTCTATCTTTGAGTGATTTTCTTTGAGTGATTTTCCATAAACTTCAGTTAGACAGTTTGCAGTTGTTCAGTGGTTACTTCATTCGGGTTATTTTAAAGAGGATTAATTTAGCATGAACGTTATTGAGTTAAAATACAAAACCTACTTTACTGAATCGTTTCTACTATCAGTTTTTTGTCCATTTTAATACCGTAAAAGCTCACGTGCACTTGAGAGAGCTGGAGAGGGAAAAAGAGGGATGGCGAGGAAGATGGGGGAGAACACATCCCCTAATGGGGTGTGGTCATAGCACGATTCTTCTCCTCCCAGTTTTCCATCTGGTCAGGATCTGGGCACACACACACGCCAGCCATGGTTTTCAAGCTCCAGGCCAAGTGGGGTCTGGTCCCCAGGGCACAACGCTAGGGGACTGTCCTCACTTCTGGTTTGAGTCCCAGCTGAGCACTTAGAGGCAGGGCTCATGGCTATGTCCCGCATGCCAGGGTCACCCAAATGGCGAGTACACAGTACCCACCGTGTCTAGTGCTGAACAAGTGGCTGGCAGAGACGTGCGACAGGAGCGGCAGGGGCTGCTGCCGGAGTGGTACGTGGGGCTGTGCACTGCTGTCCTCGATCTGGCAGGCACACAGGCACCTGCGGCCCAGCTGTGTGCTGGCGTACACCCGGGTACTGCAGTAGCCCACAGGGTAGAAGGCACCTTCGTCATGGAAGCCAGGCCGGTCGGTGGTGATCTAGGAAGGAGCCCCCCAACCTGGAATTGAGGTCACCGAAGAACTGGGCAGTCCAGCTTCCCGTGGAGCCTCGGAACCGCCTTGGGGCTGGGAAGTGCAGCTCAGATCACACAGAGGAAGCCGCAGGCCACAGCAGACAGAGCATACCTGCTTCAGTGAGCCCGGAGGGAGACCCAGCCCCAGTCCCGTGCCTCTCTGTCCTCCTCTGTTGCTGGTCTCACTCACCTCCCCCAGGCTATGCACTGTTAGGCCCCCTAGTCTGATGGGGAACGGGCCGTCCTGAGGGATCCAGGGCAATGGGCTGAACCAGCTTGTGAGCACCTCCCACCATTTTCTTTTTCTTGGATGTTTTCTTCGGAACTGAAACTCAAACCTGGGGTCACCCACCTTAAGCCCTGCTCCACACCGAGGGAAGGGAACACGTGCGTGCACATGCCAAGGGCCTACGCCAACCCTAGTGTCCTATCCCCTGAATGGGCACGCGAGGCTCTCCCTCACAGCTCTTCCTAACCCACCCACCTGACACTTAGGAGCTTTTTAAAAGCCCTATGCTTTTTAAGGTTCCCTACTCCATCGGTAAGATCAGAAATTTCCCAAGACAGTTGTGTGCTCCAAAGGCCACATCCTTGAAGACCGAACCCAGACAGCTAGGAGGGAGGAGTTTTCAGTCTGCTCTCTTCACAGTCAACCAGGTCTAACCAGAATTTCTCCACCCAGAATGGCTCTGATATGACGATTGCTTCTCCAGGGCTATCAGGCGCCTTCAGAGGCTTGTCTGGGCTGTGTGCTGACCCATCAGCCCTGGGTCTTTGCATGAGCAGATGAGCTACAGGGCAGCTGATCTCATGGCCCAGACGTACCTTCCAGTTTGTTGTTCTCTTTGCCTTTTTCTTTTTTCTCCTTCTTGGATTTCTTCCCAAATGGTTCCTCAGACCCTGTGCTGGGCCCGGAAATGGGCAGCACTCCCTGGACAGTTCCCACAGAGCTGGCCACACCATAAACCAGGGGCAGAGTGGAGCTGTGTGGAGGAGCTGCAGCCTGGGCCTCCCCTTCAGTGAGAGCCTGCAGCTGGAGGAGCTTCTTCAGCAGGTACCTGGTTCAGGAGGAGAGGGCAGAGGTGTGGACTCCCGTCCTGTCTCAGTTCGACATGCACTCGTGTGCAGGGGACGCATACGAGAACCGCACACAGGAACACTAGCTCAGGAGCGGGGCAGGCGTGACCTTAGGAAGCAGCAGCCGGGGGGGTCATCATGGACTTCAAGAAGCCCAGGACGAGCACTGGGGCCTCTCTTCCCAACGTTGGAAGGCTGCAGGCTTCCAAATGCTGACACCATAACCGAGAGGTGTGTGTGTGCCCCCTGCACATGCCAAGCCCGCTCTGTAGGACCATTGCACCCTGAGCAGAGCCCGCTCTGCAGGACCAGCGCACCCTGAGCTGAGCCCGCTCTGCAGGACCAGCGCACCCTGAGCTGAGCCCGCTCTGCAGGACCAGCGCACCCTGAGCTGAGCCCGCTCTGCAGGACGAGGCCCCCTTTCAGCCCTTGGCTCTTGTACCTGGACGGCTACAATGGGAGCCACTTTTGAAATAGCAAAGAGCTTGGGCAGAGTGCAGAGGCGGTCTCGTCTTCCAGGCAGCCATGCTTCCGTGTGTGGCAACCTCTACCACAGGCTGAGTCCCTCCATAGGGGGAGGCCACACAGGTGGGCCTGGCTCAGAAGCCCCCTGGAGCGCCACGGTACCAGTCAACAAAAAACCGTGGTTCTGAATACAGAATGAAACCAGCTCACCTTCTTTCTTCTTTTGCTTTAAGAAATTTTTCCTCAAGACGAGCAATTTCATCACAAATGGCGGCATTTTCCTTTAAAAAAACATTTTGAACAGAAACACAGAAGGTGAATGGAAGCCCAAATCGTTTTGCTGGGAAGAGGATCTGTGTTTCATACCCAAAGCGTCTGCGGTGCAGGTGAGGCGCTCGGGGCAGGGTGAGGGAAAGCGGCGGCACAGGCGGCACCGGGCCGGCCGTCCTTTCCCACGTGCCTCAGCTCAGACCCCGGGAGGAAAACCGCGCTGAACGTTGCTGCGGTCACGGTGGCCTCCCCGGAGGCGGCGCCTCAGCCGTCCTGGAAACCACAGCCCCTGCCTTCGGGACCCTTCCTGCGCCATGGCCCGGGCCGCCGGGTGAGGACGACGCGGGCAGCGGTTCTCCTTCCCCGTTTCCTTCCAGCGCACACAGACCGCGCTGCTCAAAGGTTCGGGGAGAACGAGCTAAGTCCGGGTCTGTGCTCACGCTCCCGGGGACGCGGGGGACAAGGGGGCGCGGAGCTTGGGGGTTTGGGGATAAGGGGGCGCGGGGACTTGGGTCCCCCCTTAGTCCTGGTCCCCCTTAGTCCTGGTCCCCCTCAGTCCTGGTCCCCTTAGTCCTGGTCCCCCCTTAGTCCTGGTCCCCCCTTAGTCCTGGTCCCCCTTAGTCCTGGTCCCCCTCAGTCCTGGTCCCCTTAGTCCTGGTCCCCCCTTAGTCCTGGTCCCCCCTTAGTCCTGGTCCCCCTTAGTCCTGGTCCCCCTCAGTCCTGGTCCCCTTAGTCCTGGTCCCCCCTTAGTCCTGGTCCCCCCTTAGTCCTGGTCCCCCTTAGTCCTGGTCCCCCTCAGTCCTGGTCCCCTTAGTCCTGGTCCCCCCTTAGTCCTGGTCCCCCCTTAGTCCTGGTCCCCCTTAGTCCTGGTCCCCCTCAGTCCTGGTCCCCTTAGTCCTGGTCCCCCCTTAGTCCTGGTCCCCCCTTAGTCCTGGTCCCCCTTAGTCCTGGTCCCCCTCAGTCCTGGTCCCCTTAGTCCTGGTCCCCCCTTAGTCCTGGTCCCCCCTTAGTCCTGGTCCCCCTTAGTCCTGGTCCCCCTCAGTCCTGGTCCCCTTAGTCCTGGTCCCCCCTTAGTCCTGGTCCCCCTTAGTCCTGGTCCCCCTCAGTCCTGGTCCCCTTAGTCCTGGTCCCCCCCTTGGTCCTGGCCCCGATGGTCCTGGTTCCCCTAATAGTTCTGGTCCCCGACAGTCCAGGCCCTCTGAGTCCCACCCCATGCAGCCCTGGCTTCCCCCAGACCTGCCTCCACGCCTCTCCACAGCCCTAGACCCCACGCAGTTGGGGCTCCTAGGTGTGGCCCTGAGGCCTCCCTGCCAGAGCCCTCTTGGACGTGTGCCCAGCCTGTCCATGGGGTCCTGCCCTTCGTGGGTCCGAGCGGTGCCAGAGGGCACGCCGGCTCCAGCTGCTGGCTGCAGCGCATCCATCCCTGACCGTCCACCCCTTCCGCGCCTCTCCGCCCCGCAGGGCCCTCTGCCCGGGGCCTCCCCTGGCCCTTTGCCCCGGTGTTGGCTGTGACCTCCTGCCTTGGGGGCAGTTCCAGGCCTTTGCTGTCTGTAAGGGACTCCTCGCCCTGGTCTAGGAGCCTGAAGCAAGTCCCACGCCTCGCTGCTTAACAAGACAGAGGCCAACTGTGGAGAGAGGAAAGGAAGGTTTGTGACAGTGGCCATGGCGCGAAGACAGCGAACACCCCCACCATTATAGGTGAAGGCCGTGCCCGGGGCTTGCAGCCTCCTGGAGAACAGCTGGGGCAGCACAGGCCAGGCCAGTTTGCAGGGGGACACGATCAAACAGCTTGTCTTTGAGCCAGGAAATTGTGGCAGCTAAGGGCAAAATCAGACGGGTTTGTCTCTAAGAGGGGCAGTTCAGCTTGTGGCCAGGGCAGGGCGACCTCGTTCAAGTCCCAGGCTGTCTGTCTCCTTGGCGTTCCTGTGAGGAGTCCCGAAGACTCTGGTCGGCAGAGAAGCGCTTTCTGATTTTCCCAAGACGGAGTCGGTGTGGCTGAGCGCCCGTTCCACATCCCCTGCACGCCGTGCGCCTAGGGCGCCTCAGAAGCCGAGCTCGCCGAGAACAGGCAGAGCGGGCCCGCGGCCGTATGCTCTCCGCCGCGCCCTTGGCTGCAAGGAAGGGGCACTGTGCCGATCGCTGTACCTGAGGACGGGGAAGGTGCCTTTGTCCAGTGCCCTGGCTGGCCAGGAGAGGGGCTGGCCCGGGGAGGGGAAGGACGCGCCCTGGGCTGGCTGGTGGAAGCTGTCGGCCAGGACACGGGCTCCACCCAGTGAAGTGTCGGTCAGCTCTCGCTGGGTTTGGATAAACCTACCTGAGTTTGCCGAAAGGCCCCAGCGGCCCGTGCAGAAGCCATCTGAAGAAATGGCCGGGTCCATCTCTGGGAGAACTGCGGCGTGAGCGGCGGCCTGTCACTGATGGAGGCTCCATGGTCTCGGGTCCGAGCACAGCTCGGTGAACGCAGGGCAGGGGTCGGCGGCTGGCGCCGGCAGTAAGTCGAGAGGCTTGCCGTCGGCCGTGCCCAGTGCCAAGCGGTGCTGGCTGAGGTGCAGAGGGGTGCCCGGACACAGATCTGTCTTTAAGTGTCCAGAGATGACCCGTGAGCTGCCATCACCTCTCTGTCCCCGGGCCACAATGGGCCTGGGCAGGCCAGTCACCACCGCGAAGCGAGCTGGGCAGATCCCTGGGGTTCAGGTCACAGCACAGTGTTTGCTCCCCTCCCAGGTCTCCCCACCTGCTCTTGGGGTACATTCTGAAGGGCTATAGGAGTATAGTGAGGGACCTTCATAAACAGCCTCTAGAGTGTTCTTTCCTTGTGGACTATTTAGATGTTTTAAAGTTTATCGCAGAGAGAGAAAGGGAGACAGGCAGCCCCTGGTGGGGTCTTCATGCCACACCGACCTCCGGCCTCAGCCAGCCAGGTCACAGGAGTGTGCCTGGTGTGTCAGGGACCTTGGGGTGTGAACCCAGGGTCTTCCCTCAGCATGGCAGTGTTGTCAGTACCATGCCACCACTGTTGGCCCTTGTTAATGTCTAGACTTTATTCCTGGTTTTTTTTTTTTTGGAGAGGTTTTTGCTATAGGGAGCGTGCGCTCTCCAGACAGACAGAGACAGAGAGACAGAAAGCGAGAAATCACCCCCCAGGGGGGATGGCCACACCACAATCCCTTCTCCTCCATTGTCCTCTTGGGATCTTGGGCACGCACGCACATGCGCCTGGCGGGAGTTTAAGCCACTGGGTGCGGGACGCAAACCACGGTCGGCTACATGAGAGTCTCGCGACATAGCCATTACGCCAACTGCTGGTCCCCTTTATTTCTGTTCTTTAGTTCACTCTTGTCATAGACACTCTAGACCCACTTTTAGGTCTTTGGCCTGCAGCTTGAGCTGAAGGTGCCGTCTCACCCCAAGGGGGATGTGACACAGGGAGTGTGACTGGGCGGCTTCTGCTTAGTGATCCCCAAGTGGGTGGTTTCGTGTATTGGTATCTGTGGCTCGTGGAGGAGGGAAGCTTCCTCCATGACGCATTGACTGGAGGTGTCCGACACACCTAGTGGGTGAGATGTGTTGGTTTGGAGGGCTCCAGGCCGGCCAGCAGAGTCATGAAGTCCACCACCGTGTCTATGTTCTGTGTCTGGGAGGTCGTGTCCTTCAGCACACACAAGACACTCAGCCAGCTGAAGGAGATGAGCTCAGAGATGTTGGCGCGGAGGAATAGCAGGATCATGTTGAGGTCATTGATGGGGCACCCCAGCATCCTCCTGCTGAGGAGGTCGAAAGCTGCTGAGGAGGTCGAAAGCTGGGAGCATCTCATAGACGGACAGGAGACGTTTGTCCCAGCGACATAGCCGGGTGAGGTTGTATATGATCAGTGGCACCAGTAGGGCATACACGGCCGCGCTGGCCAGGCTGGCCACCTGGAAGATGGACAGGGAGGTCAGCCTGCACGTGATCAGATCGGGGACCTGGGTCTCTTTGCTTAGCAGCCCCGTCTTGATGGAGCAGCTGAATTCTTCCTGGAAGAAGACACCCAGGTGGAAGTGGCCCAGGTACAGGTAGGTGGCGGAGGTGAGGAGGAGCAGGAGCACGTTCCTCAGGAGGTAGGTGGCCACCAGCGAGTGTGAGCGCTGCTTGCATGCCAGGTACCGCTCCAGCAGAGGGAACTCGAAGTACCGCTGCTTCCGAGCTCTGGGCAGGGGAGAAAGGGGCCGGGGACAGGTTAGAGCCATTCCCTGGAAGAGCCACATACCTTTCCAGAGCAGTGGGAGGTCTGGAGCCCAGTAGTGCTCCTGGGCTCACGGGGTCTGCCTTCCCCAGGCGTGACCGCTTCTCCCAGTGTTGCTCAGTTGTCCAGGTGCTGAGCAGTAGGACAGACCTGGGTACGGTCAGTGAGCAGCGACTGGTCATGCTGGGCTCCTGCCCACCAAGGCAGACCTGCTCTGAGCTCAGCTGGGAGCCCCAGGGCACAGCAGGCTGGGAAGCAGACAGGGACTGGGGTCCAGGTAACCACGCTGGCCCGCGGCGTGTGTGCCCTGATGACTTTTGGGCCAGTTCACGTGTTTTGCACACACGAGCTGACAGTGTCTCTGGAAGCCTCGGGGTTCAGGTGTGGGTACGCCGCTTTGAGTCCAGCCGGAGAGGGTGGGCAGGTGACACGTGCCAACATGCCATAAAAACAGCCCATTCTGGGGCTAGCAGGTGGTGTGATGGTTAAGGCCAAACATGGTTCAAGTCTCAGATCTGGTGGCTTGCTTTCTCACTTCCTTTTTCTCTCTCTCTTTCTAGTCAAATTAAAAAATAATATTACATGGAATTAAGTAATAGATAATTCAAAAAAAAAAAAAAAAAAGCCAGTCCCCTGATTTGTGGGGAGAGAACAGCCATAAACCACAGCAGTCGCAGAAGTGAGGAGCCGGAGGGCTGGAGTGTGGGCTGGCGTGCCCGGGAGGCCTCCTGGTGAACATCGGCCTAGCTGACTTCCGAAGGGAGATTTCAGAGTACAGAGCTCAAGGAAAAAGAGTTTGTGGGGAAAAATGGAATTAAAGTACGAATTTAAAAACAGCAGAAAGCTGTCAGGAAAGTTTTCGTAGCACACATCGCTGTGGGCCCTGCAGAGGCTGCGTGTGTGTACAGGGGGCAGAGTACAACTGTGAGGTGGAGCCCGCCGCCTCGTCGCCGGCCCTGCCGCGGCCCTGTG